CAGCGTAAACTTTTCCTAAGAATCGGACGGATACATGACAGTACATATAAAAATACACAGAATGACACCAATATAAAAATATGGTCACTGGGGGAGTCCAATCGATTTTTGAAGGACCGGCGTTATGAAAATGCGCGCGGGTTGCATCCTTTTTTAATTTCCGATTGTTGGTATCTCGATGTCTGGGAATTTAAAGTGCTACTGGCTAGAAGGCTGTTTTTGCAGCTGGGAACAATGGGTCAGCTTGGTCTGAAGGATTTCACTGATGGCATTATGCACCTGCTGCGGAGTCATATCGCTGGCTATTACCCATTCCCACCTGGGCTTCCTTTTGGTTTCCTGAGCTTGAAGAGCTTCAGCGTTTATTTCTTCGGCCAAGCGCCGATAGTTCTGCATGACACGCGATTGGAAGTCAGCATTTTCGAAACGTTCATCGCCGAAACCCCCACGTTTTACGAGGTCCGCCATACTGGCGGGCAAAAGGCATATTATTAAGTCTGGCTGGGGCAAACAGTCCTCAGCCCTCTTGCACCACTCCCAACTGGGTGGATTTGGTTCCTTTGCAGCTGTGTAGACAATGCCCGAGTAACTATATCGGTCGGCAACGACACATCGGCCTGACTCAAGCGCCTGATTGATTTCTGCAGCCCGCTCCCATCTAGTTGATAAGGAAAAAATATATTTTAACATTTTAAACACGACGAAACCAGGAAACTTTTTAGTTTGGGTCTGCTACAAGAAAATTAAGTATGCAAGGCGAACTACTACTAGTAGTAGCATCATGAGAGAAAGTACTGAGCGGTTGAACGAGTAGGAAAATAAATTACCTATTGGCTGTAAACAGCAGATGAACTGCGTGGGGATTAAGCTCAAGTTTGCCATTAAGATAGGTATTTAGACTTTGACCCAGGGGTGTGCTTCGATCAGGAAAACGAACTGAAAGTGTTTCTGTTCCATAGAGACGAGTCAGCTTATCCTCCAACAGTTTGGCTTGTGTTGATTTGCCAATCCGGTCGGTTCCCTCCAAAACAATAAAAATTCCGCGCCGCTCCATGGAACAGGAACTGAAGGGGAGGAAAAAAGTTAAGCAGGTGTGCGAAAACATTACACACGTAGCAGTTATGTACTCGAACTGGAAATTTCAGTTGTGCATGTTCTGTGTGTTGTGTGCACTGTTGATCATTGGAAACAGCTTTGATTACACGAAGAAGTGGACTGTATTGTATGCATTACCCTAAGCGTCAGTTCCACACACCTACGCCAAAACCGGCTAACGCCTCGACTGCGGTGTCACTGCAGTTATCGACACTGTCGCTAGTAAATTATATTATATCTTGACCGCTGTGCGCAGGGCGTAGGCCTGGGAGCCCATTTAAGTTGGCACCCCGACCTTAATACCACTCGATAATGAAGCAGATGCTATAAAAGCTCTTCCGATTCTGCAATAGAAAGCACCTCGGTTAAAAAATTCGAACCGCTGACGTATGCGGGCGTGCCGTTTACCAGGAGCTGTAACTTAGCTGCTTGCGCCCGAGAATGGCCTTCCATAAATCAGCACGAGGCTGGTTACCTGGGTTGTAAGATGCGGAAGGTGCGGAAGGTGCTGTAACTAATAACTGAAGAGCGTCTCGACTAACTGTGAATAATGGCTGAAGGGCTTCTCGGATAACTGTTATTATCGACTGAAGAGCTTCTC